TCAGAAAGTGTTTAATATTCAGTCCTGCATTTTTCAATACCTTTCCTTTGCAAATGCAAGAAGAGAAGAAATGAAAATAAAGAGGACTAAAAATGAAGACCCTCTACACTATCCTGCCCAGCAAAATGACTTTCTGTGCCAACCTAGCACCCACCATCATCCTTAAGAGGAGCACACAAAGGTTCTAACCATTAACATATTTGATTTTGCTAACTTTTGAGCCAAGCTACAAAAAGTCATTACTTGGAATCTAAAACCAAGCAAAGAATCAGCCTTTCTAGAGAGCTGTGCATTATTGGTAGCTTACTCAAATACAGATAATTTTTGAAGGACTCCCTTTTCATGAGGTGTAGAGGGAGGAATGGCCACTGAGCAGGTTTTCTGATCCAGCAGACCGGGTAAAGGAGGAGTCAGAGTCCTTAGTGGCTTCTGCTGGCGTCCTCGTGACGCCGCCCTTAAAAGCCCCATCTCAGCCCAGGTGAATCCCATCTACCTAGGCCCACACCCTACTCCAGGCGCCCGCCATCAGGCATGCATTCGGGCCCACAAGGATCCATCATCTATCCTGATGGCGAGAGGGCAGAAAAGCCTGACATTTTTCCTTACCCTTCCTGGGGTTATTTTCATCCCATGGTGTGTTAGCCTATATTCTTATTTTAATTCTGATCTAAGAAGTCATAAACCAGGGACATAAGTATGTTCTTATCAGCTGCATTTGACTAAAACTGCTCAGGCCTTTATATCAGTGAGATAAGTTCTGTTTAAAAATCAAACAGAAAATTCAGACTTTCATATCTAATAGCCTTACCTCAGAAAGCAACTTTGTTAAATTTTCTCCACAGGCTTCTCAGAAGGCTGCCATTTCACTCAGCACTAACATCTTTTATTACTAAATAAACATCTACACAAAACACAGCTGTATTCAGAGTACCAGCAGCCTAATATTTAAAGTCTACTTCCTGATTCAAAAATAATAGGTGCATTTCTCAGGTGATCACGTGGTCAGAAAGGCAGTGTTTTGTTCCTACACTTAACAAATCAATACGCTGTTACAGGGCTGGTCAAGGCCCTGTGTGATCATGTGCATAAATACAAACCTTTCCTGAGAAATTTGGACATTATAACATGAAGGTCAAGACTTTTCTCACCACAAATCATCCTCCCTATTACAGCCCAGGTGAGGACCTGAAGGTCCATCCAGGAATCCACAAGCCCACACAGTGGATCTAACAAGATGGATTCCACGGCTTCCTTTCCTTTCACTTTCTCTCATCGCCTTCCTGTTTGTTGACCTCTCTGCTGCTTATTTCCACCTCCTTCCCTTATTCCTTTCATCTTGGCCCTGCCTGTGAAATACAGACCAGCATCACCTCTCTCTCTCCCAAAATCTCACCTTCTCGCAGCTTTATCATCTCTTTGGAGGAAACGCCCAAATTAAGGACAATTAAGGACTTCAAACTTAGATGAGAACATGAGGGACTATCCTTTCAAGTCTGTAAATTCCACCTGATCACAATTGGAACACCTGATCTCCCCCAAAATGTCAATTCTCTGCCCTACTTCATATTTAAGTTAAGGACTCCAGGAGGTTCCTGGTAACCTACGTTGACTCCTTTTTTAACTCAGCAAATCACCAACTCACCCACCTGATCTCTTGCCAAGCCATGTGAATTCAATTCCTTTCCTTTCCCCACCAGTGCCACCAGTGTTTCTTCCCCCTGAACATTCCAGAATTTTTCTAAATGGGTTCCAGACCTCCTCTCTAATCCACCTTAAGTGATGCTATTATGTTAATTGTTTGAAAGGAAACAGTGTACTCTAGAACCACAGGGCTTGGTTTTAAATCCCAGCTCTGCTCCGGTTTACTTGTGTGACCTTGGGCAAGTTAACCTAACTTCTCTAAACTCTCATCATATGCACACGGAAGATGATAATAGCACCTGACTCACAGTACTGTTGTGAAAATAAAATGAATTAATACTTGTGAAGCACCCATAACAGTATCTGGCATGCATTCAAAGGTTCAACAAATGTTTGCCATTATTTACAATGAACACAGACCCAGTCCTACCCTGACTTGCCCCAAAACCCTCAAAGGAATCCATGGCATACCAAGGAAACTATGAATCCTCATCCTGGCACCCAGCTTAATACTCCACATCCCCATGTGACCTATGTATACACCAGGCAAATCTGAGGACTTAATGTTCTGGGAACACAGTCTGGAGCCTCCCTCTCAATCCTGTTGTTTGTACTTCCGAAATCTCTCTTCTCACATCTCTGCCTAATAAAACCGTCCATCCTTCAAGCCAGTCTTAACTCCTCCATGAAGCCTTTTCTGAATCTCTTGACCAGCTGTGCTCCCAGGCCCCAATGACTCCTTCTCCCACAGAGGTTATGTGTATCTCTTCTATGCCTCTGATTGCAGTCTGATCAGTCTCTCTACAGTTTTGGAGCTCTTTGAAGACAGTAAGTACACTCACCACCATTGCATCCTCTGCATCATCCAGCCCTGCACAACATGTTAGGATAAAAAAGATGGAGACGCAGGTGATCAGGACCACAGCCACTGCTGTAGCAGGTTAGGTGTGCAAGTCCAAGCAAAAAGAAGTACATGTTCTGCCCAGACTGCAGTCCACCTCATAGTTTCAAATGACATCAGAACTCACAATATAAACTGTATGGTCTCTCTGACAAGTCTTTCTTTACAAAACACCATAAATACAGGAGAATAAACATAAGACGAATGTGATTTGTTCTAAAATACCAATATTAAAACTAAACACAAAAAGCCCTCATACATCAATATTTGAATCAAAAAGCCATTGAGCTTCTAGTTGGCTAAATATAGTTTTGTCTTAATTCTGCTGACTAGCAATCCCAAGAGAAGCAACTCGGACTTCAATGACTGGAGCTTGTTCAATACCATGTTAACAACCACGGGCGTGTTAGTCACTGCAGAATTGAACATAATGGAAGCTGCAAGGTCCCTATCCGCAGACTCACAAGAGACCCGCCAATCCTAAACTCACAAAAAGAACGCCACTACAATGCACATTCCCAAGCACAGAGTGAACACTCAATAAACACCACTGGCAGTGACATCATCCAGGTACACCAGGTCAGAGAGCACTAACTCTATTTGGTCTAGGAGCCATGCTGTAATCCGACACCAGGGATTTAGACCTCATTGCCTCAGCAACTCCTGGCATTCAGGAGCTGCAGCAAAGAGCTCTTTCATTGCCACCTGCACTTCAGTCATCCAAGAAGCATCCCGCTCCAGGCACCACTAAGAGAAATGTCCCGTGGAAATCAGTGTCCAAAATCCCTAAAATGAAGTGACAACTAAGGGTTGTTTTCTCTCAAATAAAGTACATGCTCTTGAAGGCTGAAACGCTCTCACTCTTTGAATGTCTGGTGGTACCCACAAATCCTTAGGCAAAAATGCCAAAAATCCCTTTAACTGGACATGTCCTAGGAAGCTTACCAGCGTGAGTATGATTCATTTAACTATATATGATTCATTTAACTATGTTCATTTAATTGCACGCTTGGTTTAGACAACAAGAAAGTCAAATTAAATGTTTAAGCTAGACTATATTAGACTCTTCTGAAACAACAGCTCTTCTAATATAAGGACATGATCAAGCCAATTTAGCCTTCTTATTCTTTATTGTCTCCTGCTTTCCCTCTCTTTAATTAAATTTTTACTATACTTAAATGTACAGTAGATCAATGGCCATTCACCAAAAAACAGATCCCTACTCTCACCTTACATTCTTTTTTTTTTTTTAAAGATTTATTTATTTATTTACACAAGCACTGGGTATAGTCAGAAGCACAGGAGGGTGAGAGAATTCACCAGAGACAGAGCAGGGAACAGAACAGGCAGACTGAGGAAGTACACTCCTGAGGGGAGCAGCGGGCGGTAGGAGAGGTCTGTGCGCAGGAGAGGTCTGTGCGCCATGTGGGACCCTCACCCAGCGGCCGGGGATGGAACTGGCGCTGCAGAGACTGCGGGCAGCTTCACAACCCAGCCCTCAACCACTGTGCCACCAGGGAGGCCCACATTCTTTTTTTTTTTAGAAAGTATTTTTTTATTTTTTTTAAAGATTTATTTATTTATGCATACAAAAACTGGGGTACAGGCCAGAGATGCAGGGGGGTGAGAGGATTCACCAGAGACAGAGTGGGGAGCAGAACAGGCAGACTGAAATACGCTGCTGAAGGGAGCAGTGGGCAAGACAGTAGAGGTCTGCGGGCTGGGGATCAAACTGCAGAGGCTGTGGATTGCTTCATAGTGCAGTGCTTAACCCCTTGCGTCACCAGGGAGGCCCTCACCTTACATTCTTAAATTCTAATCCCTTAGAAGCAAAGTAACCAAATATACATCAGCACTCCTACACCACTTCCTCAAAGACAAAGAAAGTAATACTGTGAAGCTTGTTAACTCCATCAATAATTTGTCATATAGGCAAAACTTTACTTACAGGTAGAATTTAGATAGAGTGCCTTGCAGCAAATGTGTTCCATTTTCTGAAAGCAAGCTGCATAAACAAAAGCATCCTGAGCTACAGCAGCAACCCCGTGAATTGCAAAGCTGAAGCACCTGTAAAACACCACACACCACTGCCCTCTGCTCCGTGGGTGCTCCATAAACACTCAGCCACTGATTCACAGACCAATTGCAGAGTCTGGCAAGGACAGAGTGCGTCTCCCTGGTGCTACTCTGGGGAGTGTTCAGAAACTACAGTCGCATTTAATTGTGGCAGGAAGCCCTAACAAAGACTTTTAAAAGGACTGGAGTGTTGACAGGTTCAAATTATGTTAATTTCCCCTGCACCTCTCCTCTGAAGACCTGATACTTTAAAAAAAAAAAAAAAAAGTTGTTACATGCACCACTGGGGAAAAAGTGACTAAAACTGCCATAAAGATGCACAGTGTTCCCTCACCAAAGAGCCAACAAGCTAAACGGTTGAGAAGAAAAAATGCAAACTTACTTTTCATAGACCAGCTCCTCATCGATGGAGAAATAGTGGGTATGTACTGTGCTTTTTGGTCTATTCCTTAAAGTAGCAAAATATAAACGATCTGAAAGACAAATTTAAAAGACGGGAGAAAACATGAGAAGCAGGGAAACTGGAGGTGGGGGCTAGTGATAACACAGGAAGTTAACAACTTCTACCCATTATTTAAACACCCCATTAACACGTGGGACTCTTGCAGATACCTGATCTCTCCCAGAAAGTCACCCAAGATCCCTCCCATAAAGGGGCCCAAAAACACAACAGACAAGCTAGAAGAGGATCTGCCTGTAAGACTTAGCCAAAGGGGAGGGGGTCTCGGCTCCCCAAACTCCCTCATTTCAGGCCAGCGGGAGTGATAGGCGCTGGGGACTCCCGCAGAACTGGAGATGCAAGTTTGGTTCGAAAATCTCCAGACCTCAGCAACTGCGGAAGGGGAACAGAGACGCGAGCTTCTCCCTGCAGCTTCGGCGACTTCAAGGAAAGCAAGAAAGGAGAGACAAGGGGGTGTGGCTGGGGGGGGGTGCCCCGAAAATCGAGACTAGCTCTAAAGGGATAAAGGCGACCGAAAAGGATCACCCAGAGCTGCAAGCCCAGGAGCTGCGGCGTGCAGGACGCGGGCAGAAGCCGGCCTGGTCCCCTCACCGGGCAGGGAGGCCATCCGAGACAGCTGCAGAGGGAACTAGGGACGCCAGAAAGACAGAGGCCGGAAGCGGGGGTCCTCGGGGACCGCAGAGCACCGAGAGGGGACGCGAGCGCGCGCCGCGGCTGCAGGGCGCAGGAGAGGCCAGGGGGGGCCGTGGCTGGGGCGCAGGGGAGAGAAGTGAAGAGTTGGGGGCCAGGGCGGGCTGGAGGATGCGGGGCGGTTGCTCCTCACCTTTTATGAACTCGCAAGCCCCGATTAGTTCCCCTGACTCCGCTGCCATCTTAAGCGACATACGCACCGGGGAGGGCTAGATCGTGGCCAGCTGAGGTCCCCCGCCCCCGGGGGCTGCCCCACTGCCCGAGAGCCGGGGCGCTCACAGTCCCGAACACCGCGCCCGCCCGAGAGAGGCAGCAGGCGCGGGAGGCGGAGGCGGCTGGGGGGTCAGCGCGCCGGGCGCCCCGGGGACATTCCGCAGGGAACCCGAGCCGCTCCGCGCGGGGCGCGCACGCCCCGGGCTGTGGCCGCTCCGGCTCGGACCCGGCTGCTGCTGCTGCTCCGCCGCCGCTGCGCCTGGGAAACGCAGACCAGCTCTCACGGCCGGGCAAAGTCTTCCCCGGCCCCCAAAGTGATCATGGAGGAGGAGACGCTGGCCCCGATCGCGCCCGTGGCTACTCGTGCGGCAGCGGGCTGGACTCCGGCGCCCGCGGGCTGGCAGCAGCTGCTCCGGCTCCGCCTTTGCCACCTCCTTTCAGCAGCAACTCTTCCTCCTCCACCCCCTGGGTCCGCCCCAGACCTTCCACCCCGCCCTCCCCCGGGCCCCTCCACTTTCACGGCTCTGAGGCCATCCCTTAAAGGGACAGCCCGGCTCCTCGCTGAGCCCCAGCCCTGCGCCCCAGTTACCCGGCGCCGGGCGGGTCTCCAGGAGCCGGTTGCTAGGGCTTTGTTGAGGTCCACCAATTGCTGCACAGGAAGCCCGGCCCTGGGCCCGGAGCTGCCGGGCGGGGCCTCGGGACCAAAACTTATGAATGAAACTGTGGCCTGGCGAGTGGGTGTCCCGGAGGGCGCGCTGGCCCGGCCGCAGGCGAGGATGCACCGAAGCCCCTAACATCTCAGCATCCACAGTTGTGCCCCGTTCCAGTTTCTTCTCTGTCTGTCTCGCTCATTCTCTTTCTCTCCAGCCCCACTCACCCACGTTTCGGAAACTCTTGCTTAGACACACACGCGCTCGGGCGCGCGCGCGCGGGCTCCAGAGCGTCTCCGAGCCGCGCCTTAGCTCTTGCAAGTCTTGCAACCAGCTCCCCCATCCCTACTTTGCAACCAGCCCCTATCCCTGCATGGCAACCAGCCCCCATCCCGACAGCTGCAGGGTTTATTTTATAAAATATGTCATTTCAAAAGAGGCGCCACCTCCCAGCACAGAAGAGCGCGCGCTGGTTTCCTCTGCACAGTTTGGCCTCTGATATAACTTGTGCTTTGTTCTCATCGCCGGGGAAGGTTCCCATCCGGTCCCCCGCGTCCTCGCACTGGGCCTGCCACGGTGGTGCAAAACCATCACAAATGCCCAACCTTTACATCGCCCGCATCCCGGGGTCGGGGTGGGGGTGGGGAGCGCAGGGCCAGGCAGGGGCGCGCGTGGAGAGAACTGGCGGGCCGGGGAGGTATGAGGAAGAGGCGGTCAGTGTTCAAGGGGAGAAATTACATTAAAGATTTGCTGTACGTAGTCTCTGCTGAAGCGCTGCTGGGCGAGGTTCCTCGCAAAGGAGGCCTTGACTTGTTTCTGTGAGGATTCGCATACACTTGGAACAACTTTAATGCTGACTGTCCCGTGGACGCCCCTAACAGAGGACAGCCCCTGGGGTACAAAAATGGCGCTACGAGCCCATCCTCGGCAGAGCATGCGCTGAGAGGCTTCTCCAGAAACAGAAAGGGATTTTGTGCCGGCCTCTGGATTCGCAGCCGCTTGTTTACCTCTGGGGAGAAAGGGGGCGCACCAATGAAGAACCCAGTGACTTTGCTAGAGCGCTCAGAGGCCCCCAGAAAAGATCAACTTATTGGTCTTAGTCCGTTAGCCTTCGTGGCTGGCTAAAACAGCTTAATAAGCACAGAAAATAATAAACGGATGCTGCCTCAGTATTCAGGGGGAAAATTCAGGACATCTCTATAATTCTAAGCAAAACATCTTTGTAACATAGTTAAAAGTAAAATTTACAGCCTCCCTGGTGGTGCAGACGGTTGAGCACAGTGTTGTGAAGCTGTCCGCAGCCTCTGCAGTGCGGGTTTGAGCGCAGCCAGCCAGGGGGATACCCACACGGCGCGGCAGACCTCGCCTGCTGCTCCCCTCAGCAGTGTATTTCAATCACTCTTGCCTGTTCTGTTCCCCACTCTGTCTCTGGTGAATCCTCTCACCCTCCCACATGTCTGGCCTGTACCCCGGTTCCTGTATAAATAAATAAATCTTTTTAAAAAAAAAAGTAAAATTTAACACCTAAATCTTAAGGTTTTAAGAGTAGAACTATATATGTTTATTTCTTTAGAACTGTATAAATTTAAAACTGAAAGAGTCACTAAAGAGCACTCCTATTGCCCCCTAATCTTCACGAAGAAAAAATCTATCAAAAGAACTTTTTAGGTTGTAATAGTTGTGAAAAGTTGAGTTGCAGAGAGAGTGCCACTCCAGATGCTCCAGGTTTTAGAGGCCCCAGGGCTTGACCATTAAGTTCTAATGACTAAGTATCTCAAAGGTGTCCACACTCACACAATTAGTTGAAGTTTGCCTGATATTTATTCCCCAAATCCTAGTGTCAACTATCAATCAAGTGAACCAATTCAAATTATTTTATGGAAAACATTCTAATTGGTAAAGATGGAAAAACAACATGAATGTCTCACGAACCTTACCACTTTGCTTAAATGACTAAATTATTTCAGTGATGTTGATCTGTTTCCAAATCAGCTGACTTAAAATACGTATAGAATTTAAATTTGCTTAACAAATTTCCTAACAATTTTTTTCAAGAGTTATATTTTAAAAATCACATTAGAAAATGTCTACTCATTCAATACCTAAACTTCTAATTTCACAAGGTATATTGTCTAATAAAAAAGGCTATATCTACAATTTCAGAGAAGGCAAATTTAAACATCATCTTGTTATTTTCTAAAAGGAATTTACAAAAATCTATCATATAATTTTTCTACTTAGACATTTTGGTGATGAGTGATTTATGATCTAAACAAATGGAAATACTTAAAGAATTCAATGAAAAAAAAAATTTGCTTCCTTTAACAAATTTACAATATGAAAGTTACAGTGAAATTTTTGATACTGATAGGACTCAAGTAATTTTTTAATTCTTTCATGAAAGGAAAGTAATTACCAGTATAATCAAATCTCGAAAAAAAACAAAATCTGCATAACAAAGAATATAGAAAATTCTGTAAGAAATACTGTGAACAAAGTGATGAATATGCAGCACACATATATGTCAAGGTTCTCATGAGATCATAATACACTTTATTCTCCAATCACCATGAGGTCAAAGTTCCTATTGGTTGTAGTTTCATAATAAAGGCATACTTTTGCAGTCAATGGAGGAAGATAATGGGAAAAAAACTTTTCCAATCACCCAACTTAACATAAATGTAAGGATTGACTTTTTTTTAAAAAAAAAGATTTATTTTTCTATGAGAGCTGGGGTACAGGCCAGAGGCGTGGGAGGGTAAGAGGATTCACCAGAGTCAGAGTAGGGAACAGAACAGGCAGACAAGTGAAATACACTGCTAAGGGGAGCAGCAGGCGAGACAGGAGAGGTCTGCCACGCCATGTGGGAATCTCTCCGGTCCTGCCAGGAATCAAACCCGCTCCAGAGGCTCCAGACAACTTCAAAGCACTGCACTCAACCCTCTGCACCACCAGAGAGGCCCAGATTGATTTTTACTGTAACCAACAATAAAGTAAATATTAAGAGAATTATGTTACTCAACTACAGAAAAAAGAAGGTATTGTTTCACAGAAGTTTAGCAATTACGGATAAAAATGTCTGAAGCTTGACAAAGCACTTTAATTCTGCAACCACTGCTTGAATTCCATCTTAAACTCTCTGAGAGGCAGTCCAAAGCCCACCAAAGCTGGAGCTTCTAGAACTAGAAAACTCCCTACTGGGGCCTCCCTGGTGGCACAAGGGGTTCAGAACAGCACTGTGAAGCTATCTACAGCCTCTGCAACACGAGTTCCGATCCCCGGCTGGCCAGAGAGCTACCCACATGGCACAACATGCCTCTCCTGTCTCCCCTCGCTCCCCTCAGCAGTGTATTATCAGTCAGTCTGCCTGTTCTGCTCCCCTCTGTCTCTGGTGAATCTTCTCACCCCCACACCTCTGGTCTGTACCCCAGTTCTTGCATTCATAAATAAATATATCTTTTTAAAAAATAAAGAAAGAAAACTCCCTACTGGAGGCAACACCAGTGTATGTCACAGCCTCTGGTTCTAATTCTGTCCCTTGAGGTTGTTTGAACAACTTTAATCACTCTCATACATGACAACTCTTCAAAAATGTAACCGCACTTCCCTTGCACAACTTCTTTCTATTATATTTCCCCATATTAAAACTGTATTTTCTGGGCCTCCCCTGGTGGCGCAGCGGTTGAATGCTGGGCTGCGAAGCTGCCCGCAGCCTCTGCAGTGCCAGTTCGCTCCCCAGGTCCCACATGGAGCACAGATCTCTCCTGCCATGCCCTCTGCTCCCCTCAGCAGTGTACTTCGTCAGTCTGCCTGTTCTGCTTCCCACTGTGGCTCTGGTGAATTCTCTCACCCTCCTGCACTTCTGACTGTACCCAGTGCTTGTACAAATAAATAAATTAAAAAATAAATAAAACTGTATTTTCTTCAACTTTTCCTTATATTGCATTGTGTCAAGCGCTCTCACAGCTCAGTTACCCTCTTCTCCAAGTTGTCTACATTTCTCATAGTGTGTCCCAGAACTAAATGCAGGCCGGGGGTGATGACCCGGTGTGACCAGTTTTAAGATCAGAAAAAAAAGTGATTCAGATGGAGTAAAAGCAATGAAAAACATGAAAGAACTAAGGTTTATCATATAACTGGCAAAAATGGAAAATATTCTCTGTTAGGCAAGAAAGAACTTGTTCAGGATAAGCAAAGCCATGACAGCTATGAGCTTTATGTGTTGTTTATATATTATCAGCAATCACTCACTAGAATATATTTGGACATTTGCCTAAGTCATGATAATAAATTATTTATGCAGGTAAATGAAAATATAGAATACACACTTCAAACTTTGTTTTCTTTTTTCTTTTTCTTTTTTTTTGTGGGACCCTTGCTGGCAGCGGGGGGAACGAACTGGCGCTGCAGAGGCTGCAGGCAGCCTCGCAGCCCAGCATTCAATCTGCTGCGCCACCAGGGGAGGCCCTTTTCTTTTTTTTTAAATTCATTACTTTTTTTTTAAGATTTATTTTTTATTTATACTATAGCTGGGGTAGAGGCCAGAGGCACGGGACGGTGAGAAGATTCACCAGAGATAGAGTGGGGAGCAGAACAGGCAGGCAGACCAAGAGCACTGCTGAGGGGAGCAGCAGGTGCAACAGGAGAGGTCTGCTGCACCGTATAGGAACCTCCCTGGCCAGCCGGGAATTAAACCCGCGCTGCAGAGATTGCGGACAGCTTCACAGAGCCACGCTCAACCTGCTGCACCACTGGGGAGGCCC